CAATAATTTATAAATTATCAAGGGTTCATGAAGGAAGGGGGAGCAGGGAGGGAGGGGAAAAATGAGGAGCTGATGCCAGGGGCTTAAGTGGAAAGCAAATGTTTGGAAAGAGGCATGAAATGTAAACAATTAAATGCGAAAACAAACACTAGCATGTTGAGGGCAGGGAACAATGGCTCTACACCATGGGAGAAGGGGAAAGCAAGGACAAGATGATAAACTCATGAAATAAAGTATTTCCTAGCTCTGGCCAATCAAAGGACCTAGATGCAGTAGAGATGGCCTACCTATAAAAACACTTAATACCCAGGTCTTAATTTCTAGATATCACTGCCTATGTAGAGGAAATGCAGGGCTTTTGGGACAAACGGGTACATCCCAGGCAGGGACAAAGATAAAGGTGCACCTGGGAACATGTCGTGCCCGAAAGTTAGAAATGGCTCACAAAAAAACAATGATGACTTGTCAAAGGGATGCATACAGCAAGAAGCCAGCTTACAAGGATTCCACTAGCCCTAACAAAAACAAATTTTGAGCAACAAATCAATCATTCGAGAAATGGACTTTTAACACATCGCATAAAAAAAGAATCCATGATTCCATACTAATAATACACATAAAACAGACAAAACAAACAAACGAGGAAAGAAAAGAGTACTTAATTGCGGTGGATGCCAATGATAAATGTAGACACAATGTGAGTGAAATGATTACCATTCGGCAACCACTAGGGCAATAATTTATCCAGGCAAGAATTGTCCGTGGATACTAAGCCCCACTGGGTAGCAAATAGGTTGTAGAAGAGGATATTTATAGCCTCAAAGTATCTCCCCACAGAGTACTTATTAACAGTAAGAGAAAGATACTTTTACAGAGAACAATCTGCAGACATCACCCTGACTAAATAATCGACATTAACGTCATCAATAAGCCAGCAACATGTGCCCCTGGTGTGACGGCCTCAGAAAGACAGACACCACTGGGGGAGTGCCCCTGCCCAGACTGCTTAACCCACACCAGAGCAGACGAGACAGTCAGGCAGACCTACACTGCAAGCCATGCTACCGCACTAGCTTAAATTCTTTAAAAGGGCCATTTTCCTGAAAGACAAAAAACAGTCATCAATAGTTCTACATTAAAAGAGATGCTACGATATAACTAATCTCTTGGTGCTAAATCAGAGAGAATAAAAATTGGTTTCCTAAAATTTATCATTGCATTATGGTTACATAAGAAATATTTTTGTTGTTAGGGTTGGGTCAACAAACTTTTTCTGCCCTGATAAATATTTTTAGGCTTTGCAGGCCATACAGTTACTGTTGCAACTACTCACCTTGGCCATTGTTAACAGTGTGAAAGCAGTCATAGACCGTATGTAGGCATGATGAACATGGCTGTACACAAATACAGCTTTCCTTAAAAAATACAGGAGACACACTGGATTTGACCAGCTAACGTACAACTAGTCTTGCAGGCCACGATCTTAGATGGTAGACGTTTAGAGGTAAAAGGTCATGACATGTGGGCCTTGTCCTGTGTATTCACTTATATGTATGCATTTGAATAGACATGAATATACAGATGTACATACACAGAGAGAAACAAATGAGGCAAAGCATTAACTACTATTGAAGATAAAAGGTGTGGTCATATTTTCTAATAGTTATCTCTAAGTTTGAAATTTTTTCAAAGTAAAATGTTAAAAACTATCTTGGGTAGGCATTAACTATGTCTCTCCTTATTTCTCCCTAATATTTTATTTCTTCTATCCATTTCCACTAATTGTCTTACCTTAAGATCACAATATACTGTTCAATTAACCTAGAATCTTTGAGGCAATAATAAGAAATGCAAAGAATCTCCTGTCT